AGCGCACTAAAGACTGATTGGAGGGAGCATGATTAGGTCTTCATGTGAACCAATTTGTTCCTTCCCTAAAGCGCACTAAAGACTGATTGGAGGGAGCATGATTAGGGCTTCATGTGAACCAATTTGTTCCTTCCCTAAAGCGCACTAAAGACTGATTGGAGGGAGCATGATTAGGGCTTCATGTGAACAAGTTTTGTTCCTTCCCTAAAGCGCACTAAAGACTGATTGGAGGGAGCATGATTAGGGCTTCATGTGAACCAATTTGTTCCTTCCCTAAAGCGCGCTAAAGACTGATTTGAGGGAGCATGATTAGGGCTTCATGTGAACAAGTTTTGTTCCTTTCGTAAAGCTCACTAAAGACTGATTGGAGGGAACATGATTAGGGCTTCATGTGAACCAGTTTGTTTCCTTTCCTAAAGCGCACTAAACACTGGTTGGAGGGAACATGATTAGGTCTTCATGTGAACCAATTTGTTCCTTCCCTAAAGCGCACTAAAGACTGATTGGAGGGAGCATGATTAGGGCTTCATGTGAACCAATTTGTTCCTTCCCTAAAGCGCACTAAAGACTGATTGGAGGGAGCATGATTAGGGCTTCATGTGAACAAGTTTTGTTCCTTCCCTAAAGCGCACTAAAGACTGATTGGAGGGAGCATGATTAGGGCTTCATGTGAACCAATTTGTTCCTTCCCTAAAGCGCGCTAAAGACTGATTGGAGGGAGCATGATTAGGGCTTCATGTGAACAAGTTTTGTTCCTTTCCTAAAGCTCACTAAAGACTGATTGGAGGGAACATGATTAGGGCTTCATGTGAACCAGTTTGGTTCCTTTCCTAAAGCGCACTAAACACTGGTTGGAGGGAACATGATTAGGTCTTCATGTGAACCAATTTGTTCCTTCCCTAAAGCGCACTAAAGACTGATTGGAGGGAGTATGATTAGGGCTTCATGTGAACCAGTTTTTGTTCCTTTCCTAAAGCGCACTAAAGACTGATTGGAGGGAGCATGATTAGGGCTTCATGTGAACCAGTTTTGTTCCTTTCCTAAAGCGCACTAAAGACTGATTGGAGGGAACATGATTAGGGCTTCACTTGAACCAGTTTGTTCCTTCCCAAAAGTGCACTAAAGACTGATTGGAGGGAGCGTGATAACGGCTTCAAGTGATCCATTTTTGGCCTCCCTGAAGAGTACTAAAGACTGACTGGATACACGAAACACTGCTTCGAGGAGCATGATTGGGGCTTAATGTAAACCATTTTTTTTCATCACTAATACACGAAACACTGATTGGAGGAGCATAATTGGGGCTTCAGGTGAACCCTTTTGTCCATTTCTTAAGTACACTAAACACCGATTGTTGGGAGTATAATTGAGGCCTTTATGTGAACCAGTTTTTTTTCCATTCCAAAAGTACTCTGAACACTGTTTGGATCATGTTTGGTGCAAAATACTGCTTTCTTGTGTAATGGTTTGGGAGTATTAATAGCATGCCCTTTGGTCCTTTGATGTGAATAAATAAAAGCAACAAAACCCTTTCCATATCCTCAAGAAATATGAGTAGGATTCCGAATATATTATGATCATGTGCTTATGAATCACTGTCAAATGATGATGATACCACGTGCTCGTGAAAAGGTGATTGTATCCTGCCCCACCAGTGGCACCCGCCACAAACACATGCAAAGGCAAGTCAATTGTTCACCTGAAAAACAACAACATGGGAACATATGATGCAAGTCCGAATAACGACTTACTTCGATCATCATTTTAGTCACTCATGCGTCACATTGTGAATGTCCTCCACATGTCTGCAATAAAACGTTTTGAAAACTTTTATACAGAGGTCTTGAATGTTGTAACATTTTTTTAGCAAGCGTCGTGTGGCGCTCTTTGAAATCTTACAAGAAAGAGCTTGTAACTCAAAAGTTAGTAAATGGAGACACCACAGCTCGACAAAAAGTTGACTATTGGACAGTTGAAGTTGGAACTAATGCGTTTCGGGAAAGTTGGATAAAGGCTGCGCTAAAATACAAAGTAAAAGCTGTAATTATAAACACTGTCATTTATGTCAAATGGAGGTCTTATAAAATATAGATGTATTATTTCATTTGTATTTAGAAGTGGTAAGTTAGTTAAGTTTCCAAGAATCCTTTTCTAGTGGCTAGAAGTGATTTAATGGATCGGGGGTAAGGCGTACCCCAGTACCCCAGTGGCGCGGGACGTTGTTCAAAATAAAAAAACACACTGCTGTGCGGTGCCAAGCAACAAATACATTTTCATGCAAATCGTGTCAGTGGTGAGTGCAACTGGTACGGCAGGACATGCTTGCCCTTTTCGCGAACACCTGGTGTCAACACTGATTTTCAGTGGTCAATTTAAGTTTTACCGCTACTTTGCCTTCTACGCCAAATGGAATCCGCTCCGTCGGATAATCGAGACTGGTTATTCTCTGGCGTTGACGTTTTATATCTATTCGCAGACCTTTGTAAGGTTGCTGGGATATATATGAGTGCTGTCTAACACAACAAACTATTCCTTTGAATAGAGAGATCAATTATCATTCACAATTCATATAGTGAGATAAATATGATATTTAAACATGGTATCTGTGCAATTGTGAAATATAGACGTCATAACCTGGAGCTGACGGTATATAATTCGACAGAGGGGTAATTCACTAATAGTATTCTAGAAGAAAACACAACTTATGAAGATCTGAATCTATGAATGCAATAGAAAATTTTACGTAGTATCGAATCAGCTTGTTGCAACTTTGTATTACCCACAGGTTTAGAAATAACCGAGTTGATATAACTCGTATATGCGCTGGGGCAAATATCACTGCAAGGGCACCTGTGTATTGTTTCCGTCTTCCGGACGTCATTGTTGACGTCATTCGAAGCTTATTGTGACGTAAGATCGGAATGATGTCACACTAGAAATGACGTCATAGCTGAAGACAAACGACGGTCGTGATCAAAGCATGGAACTCAAAACGACTGAGAAATAATGTGTAATAAAGCAATTATTACACTCGCATGTATGTCATTCTGAAACCCGTGCAAGAATTCTTGTACACGTGTATTACCGTGGCTCTAGCTCGGGAAATACAAGAATTCTGACTCTCATTTCGTAAAATCAGCTACACATGCTCATATAATTATCTGTATTTATTCCTCAGTATAGATCTGGTTCCATTCCTTGTGTTAATCGTACTTTACATCTTTACACCCTATTATCGGTTTATAATTTTAATTTGCTTATCACAACATATCATGTATATATACCTCTCATTACTTGGATGGAGTCACTCTTTGGGAAAAGGGACGGTCGGGTAGCCTGGTGGTTAAAGCGTTGGCTCGTCACGCCGAAGACCCGGGTTCGATTCCCCAGCTGGGTTCAATGTGTGAAGCCCATTTCTGGTTTCCCCCGCCGTGATATTGCTGGGATATTGCAAAAAGCGGCGTAAAAGAATACTCACTCACTCTTTGGGAAAATCGAAATCATCTCTCTTGTGCAGCTTGGTGTAGAGGTTGCTATAATGTTGTATCTCTATGCAAGGATACCCAGGGCGCGGCAATTCGCTGTGCAATATTGTGTCGCTTGGGCACGTCAGACACATGATTGTGGGTTCGAATCCCGGTTCGCCCCGATTATGTTTTTAGGTTTGTCACCATACCCGTTCACGTGGGTTTTACCAAAATTGTAAAATCTGAGACCTGCATCACTGATGGCTTTCCTCCCACATCAAGCTGACACGCCGTAATATTACTGATATAATGTCCCAAACAACGTTAACCCCAACTCACTGCTTTAAATGTTCTCTCCCCAAATTTGACAAAGATGTTGTCGATCAGGAAATCCAGCCGCTCACATATATTTTTACGCCACATCTGATTTTTTCAGAGTTTAGTCACTTTCACCCTCAACCAATTAGATCCATTAAAAATTGTAATAAAATGTGATTTCAGAACCCCATTCTTGGAAAACAAATGCTTCACAGGTGAAAGTAATCGGGATGGAATATATACACAGCAATAGTGATTTATTTGTGTTCAATGTCTATCATACAGTGAGAGTGAGTGAGTGAGTATGGTTTTACGCCATATTTAGTCATATTCCAGCAATATCACTGCAGGGGACACCATAAATGGACTTCACACATTGTTCCCATGTGGGAAATCGAAACTGGGCCTTCGGCTTGATGAGCGAACGCTTTGACAACTAGGCTACTCTACCGCAGTGACATCGGCCATCAACAAGTACATGATATTGTTTGACACCTGCATCAACTACCTGTATCAACTTGTGACGTTTGTATACAATGTGATTGAAGTGTTCAGGTGAGGTGAGGTGAGGTTGGTTGGGGTTGGTTGGGGTGGGGTGGGGTGGGGTGGGGTGGGTGGGGTGAGGTGAGGAGGTTAGGTGGGGTGGGGTGGGATGGGGTGAGGTGAGGGGGATCGAGGTGAGGTGGGGTGGGTGAGGTGGGGTGAGGTGAGGTGGGTGGATGGGGTGAGGTGAGGTGGGGTGGGGTGAGGTGATGTGGGATGGGTGAGGTGAGGTGAGGTGGATGGGGTGAGGTGAGGTGAGGTGGAGTGGGGTGAGGTGAGGTGAAATGAGGTGAAATGTGGTCGTCGCTTCGTGAATTAACAAATGTTATTATCACAGTATTGAAAGACGTCAGCTCTTACACGGTCTGCCCATTCCCTAATAACGCGAGACTGCGGTGCCTTGTTGCTATGTCAGGTCGCGAACAACAACGCTTACCGACGCAAAGAGAACGACGTCACCGAAAGACGACCTTGTCTAACTGTCGCGTTTAACGCACTCAGAACTCCGTGTTTCTCACACGAAGGTTACAAAGGTGTGACAAGGCTTCATCGCAGGACTTCATTTCAGGACATGGATCAATGCTGACTTAGCCGCTCCGCGTTCTTTAGGGCTAGTTTCTGTTATCAGCGTATCAGTTGATGGAGGATCATGAACATCACCGATTTCGGAAATGACAGTAGTTATCATTTCAGGCTGAGACCCTGGGAGAATTTAATATGTGCGATGGTCCTTCTTACATTCGGTATGTGCTTTTTTATTTTTCTGATAAGGTTCAATGTCTGAACGTTTCATTTCTCATTATCTGCCGCCGGGTCCACAAAGCGAACTTAGCGTTTCGACTGTCCATGTTGGAGTATTGGACTTACTATCATCTTGACACAAACATTGTTCTGTGGAACGAGCCCTAGGTTTGTTTCCGCTTGTTGTGCTAGTAGTAGAATAAGCATATTGCGATAGTAGAAGTAGTATACTGACTCAGAACCGATCAGTCCTTGTTTTTCTCTCCTTAATGCCAAGCGCCAGACAGGGTAACAACAAGTCCCATCTTGTAACGTCTTTTGGTGTAACACGGCCAAGGATCGAACCACCAACCTTCCGCTCTCCCATGAAGGGGGTCTCAAATAAGCAGGCAAAGATGTAGTGACGGTACAATCAGCACGTGGACATATAGTGACAGTAGAATTAGCAGGCAAAGATATCGTGACAGTAGAATTATCAGGCAAAGATGTCGTGACAGTAGAATTATCAGGCAAAGATGTAGTGACAGTACAATCAGCACGTGGACATATAGTGACAGTAGTGGACATGTCCACGTGGACATATAGTGACAGTAGAATTAGCAGGCAAAGATGTAGTGACAGTAGAATTAGCAGGCAAAGATGTAGTGACGGTAGAAATATCAGGCAAAGATGTCGTGACGGTAGAATTAGCAGGCAAAGATGTAGTGACAGTAGAATTAGCAGGCAAAGATGTAGTGACGGTAGAAATAGCAGGCAAAGATGTAGTTACAGTAGAATTAGCAGGAAAAGATGTAGTGACAGTAGAATTAGCAGGCAAGATGTCGTTACAGTAGAATTAGCAGGCAAAGATGTAGTGACAGTAGAATTAGCAGGCAAAGATGTAGTGACAGTAGAATTAGCAGGCAAAGATGTCGTGACGGTAGAATTAGCAGGCAAAGATGTAGTGACAGTAGAATTAGCAGGCAAAGATGTAGTGACAGTATACTTAGCAGGCAAAGATGTCGTGACGGTAGAAATAGCAGGCAAAGATGTAGTGACAGTAGACTTAGCAGGAAAAGATGTAGTGACAGTAGAATTAGCAGGCAAAGATGTCGTTACAGTAGAATTAGCAGGCAAAGATGTTGTGACAGTAGAATTAGCAGGCAAAGATGTAGTGACAGTAGAATTAGCAGGCAAAGATGTCGTGACAGTAGACTTAGCAGGCAAAGATGTAGTGACAGTAGAATTAGCAGGCAAATATGTAGTGACAGTATACTTAGCAGGCAAAGATGTCGTGACGGTAGAAATATCAGGCAAAGATGTGTTGACGGTAGAATTAGCAGGCAAAGATGTAGTGACGGTAGAATTAGCAGGAAAAGATGTCGCGACAGTAGAATTAGCAGGCAAAGATGTAGTGACAGTAGACTTAGCAGGCAAAGATGTCGTGACAGTAGAATTAGCAGGCAAAGATGTAGTGACAGTAGGATTAGCAGGCAAAGATGTAGTGACAGTAGAATTAGCAGGCAAAGATGTAGTGACAGTAGAAATAGCAGGCAAAGATGTAGTGACAGTAGAAATAGCAGGCAAATATGTAGTTACAATAGAATTAGCAACCAATAAAACACTTTAAATAAATTAAATACTTATATACTTGTCTTCTGGATGACCGTCCAATGCAGTGGGCAAATATTATGAATAAAGTCACTGAAAACAAATCAAATAGTTTTTAGACACGGATAGTCAATTGAAGATCACATTTACACATTATATGTTATTGTCGAAAATAAATAGTGTAAACGGAGGAGAACATTTTTTGTTATTGATACTGCAGAACGAATTGAATTATGGAAATTGTTGTCTTGTTATGGTCTAAGTGGGAAATTGGTGCAAACATTTAAAGGTGTATATTCCTCAGTAAAATGCTATGTTCGATTATGATGATTGCAATTTACAGGCTTTATTGTCCATTCGGCTTAAGGCAAGGGTGTATGTTAAGCCTAATGTTGTTTTCTTTATTAATAAAGGAACTTGTTGTAGAAAATTAACACAGTGGAAATCATGGTATCCAGATGTTCCCGGATGTCGTGGAAACTCGTATGTTACTTTTCAGTGATGACAATATTTTGGTTTGAGTGTCCAGTCCGTTAGATACATTAGCTATGTATATACGTGGCGTTTAACTGTAAATTTAGACAAATCTAACACTGTAGGTTTTAGTTAGGGAAGTAGGTTTTCATCAAGAAAATAACTGGTACTTTAACGGGAAATCCATGAAAATAGTAAATAGTTATAAGTATACTTAGTTATAAAGTAGGTTATACTTTTAAAAATAAACGAAAGTAGGTGGAAAACAATAGACATATCACTGAGAATATATCCAGTCTGTAAACTCGGTATAGAAGATGAGTTTCATTTCATGTCCAACTTATTACAAAATTAGAATGAAGTATCTACCGCAAAACTTACATGTCAGTATTTTTAATTTTAAGTAGGGGTGACTACTGGTCTGGAAATCACTATTGCGATAACTATTGATATTGAAAGGAACTATTGCCATAACTATTAATATTGCAAGCAACTATTGCGATAACTATTGATATTGAAAGAAACTATTGCCATTACTATTGATATTGCAAGCAACTATTGCGATAACTTTTGATATTGAAAGAAACTATTGCGATAACTATTGCTATTGCAAGCAACTATTGCGATAAATATCGATAGTTTTCAGTGTATCATTTTAAATGGATTTTAGAGTTGAATTAAACCTTGGAACTGAAGTTTCCTTTGAATGTGATAACCATAACAACAAATAAAAAGTAAAGTTTGAGATATGACTGATTTGTTTTTTCTTTAACCTAATAATTTAAGAAAAAGAAACTTCCACATTACCATGTGTAAATTACTACCACTCATGATCAAAAGAAACCCAAATTTGAACAGCATTGCATGTATTTCATTGATATGGTAAATACAATCGAAACTATCGATATCCCTAACTGAAATCGATACTATTGATCGGAAACTGATTCAACAATCGATTTATTGACTTTAAGTGCTTACCAATAGCAATATATTGATATTTCGATTTATCGTGACAACCCTAATATTTAGAAACTTTTTCCCACGAATAATACATATAATTTGAACATGTTTTCCTTAATATTTACCATGCTCTTTAAAAGAGATGTAAATGTATGTGAATGTAACCTACCTTTGGCCTTGTTCTATATGTATGCACACGGGCCCAGGGTCCTACATACAGAAATAACGATTTTTTGACTGATTGAATGACAAGCAACCGGATGCTGGGGAGCAGTTCTAACCCGGTTCTCCACCGTTGACAGCTGATATGGAGAGCGAATCAAGCCTCAAACTCCCAGACTTGTCGATGTTGGTATTTTTTATGTCCAAAGACACACGGGGGAGATTCTATTTATCATCTAACAACATTCTTTCAATTGTTCAACTTGTAACCAATAATAGGCAGTGTCCTGTGTGCAAAAAGTACTGCAAACCAGCTTCTGTGGAAGAAGAAGCAGAAGAAGAAGAAGAAGAAGAAGTAGTAGTTTATTCATGAATGAAGGCCACATGGCCCAGAGTGGGTGAGTGAGTATAGTTTTACGCCGCTTTTAGCAATATTCCAACAATATCACGGCGGGGGACACCAGAAATGGGCTTCACACATGGCCCAGAGTTCATTAACATGAATAATATATGCTATGCACATGCACATATTTTCCTACAACAAACGTTCATATGTGTTACATTTGTATTTACCTTGGTAAATGTCTTTTAATTTAAATATATGGACATGTTTTTATAACAGAATAATTTCTGGTAGAAAGAAGACTGATACATTTTGGAACAGATGGTTGCACATGGTAACATTTTGGAATTAAATTTTCTCCACTACTTTTATACAAAGGACAAATTAACAAAAAGTGGTATTCATTTTCTATTTCATAGCGGTTACATTTACTAATAAACTTATCGATGACTCTGTGGTTGTATTAAATCGATTTTTCTGTATTCAGATTATGGCCTAAACAACGGAATTTACATAAAGCTCTAAGAAGATCTCTTTCACATACTAAAGTATACAGATACTTTTCTGGTTCGAGTAATGATTCATAAGATGAATAAATAACAAGGAAAGAAGAATTGGTGATTTTGTAATGCCAGTTTTAGAATTATATATCTTTACGTCGTTGTTTGAATATAACCATGAAGCATTTCACATCGCCGCAATCCTGAGACAACCACACATATGAAAACCCAGTTTAAAACAATAATTGTCGTATATAAGAAACCCAGTTAGTTTGATCATTTTCGTCAAATGCTTTTAACATATGGTAACAGGCATACGGATATCTTGTTTCATGTGATCTAAGTAGTCGACATCAATACTTGATACAACGACTGTAATAGTGTACACACAATGATGTTTTTCTCAGTTCCCCTAGAATTGCATTTGTTGATGTTCGTTTTCCAACGGAAAGAACTCTTTTAAAGAAATTACTTTGAACCTTTTCAATGCTTTTTTCATAGGCACATCTCCATTTTTCTGAGCCATATGAAAGAACAGGAGCAACCTTTGAATCAAATATTTTAGCAGCAGTAGAAAATGGGAGAGATGGGAATTTCTTTATCATATATAACACAGGACAAGTCGCCTTCTTTGCTTGAATAGCTAGTGTATCACATGCTTTAGTCCAAACAAGCCTTGAAGAGAATAGTAGACAAAGGTATTTGAAATATGATACATCTTCAATTTGCGAACCTTTATAAAACCATTTCTCAGTTTTCCTCAGATAACCACCCTTTCTAAAACTTAAGACTTTTGTCTTATCTAAATTAAATTCAATGCCCCATTTGTCACAATAAGAGTGTCAACAAGAGTGACATCATCAGCAAATAATAATAATAACATGATTTCATCAACATTTTCTTTCACAAATATGCCTCTTAGCCCAAGAATGTCCATTTCAAGTACAAACTTGTTTATAAAAAGTATAAAAAGAACAGGACTCAACATGCATCCTTGTCTAACACCACTTGTATTAAAAATACTTGTTTTCACATCTTCAACCCTTACACATGCTTTTATATTTGCATACATGTTTCTAAGGATAATAAACATTTTACCATGAACACCTCTATTTAATAACACATATAACAACTTATTTCTATCTACATAGTCGAAGGCATTTTTAAAGTCTATGAAACAGGCATAAAGTCTGTGGTTTGATTTTCCAAGAAATTTCTGACATAGGGATTGTTGAAATCAGTGGTGGAATAATCATTTCTAAATCCCGCTTCTGCTTCATGTAGCATATCATTAACTTCGACCAAGTTTCGTATTCTCAGTTCCAGTACTGAAGTGAAAATTTTACTAAACAATATTTAAAAGCAAAACTACCCTGTAATTGTCCGGATTTCGAGCGTCACCTTTTTATACAGTGGGACAATCATTCCTATATTCCACTCATCTGGAAATTCGCCACGATCAAATTTAAGATTATAAAGTATATTTAATACGACACAATGGAAAGAGCATTTTTATAAACATCAGAAGGAACACCGTCAATACCAGCTGGTGCTTTACCAGTCTTTAAACTTTAAAGTAATTCGACAATTTTAGCAGTCGCTGCATTAACTTTCATATGGACAACATCAAGAAAATCATAAACTATATGATTGCCCATATCAGAGTTTAAACTCTTCATTAACGTAGTCATGCCGTTTGAACTTGAGTATTGCTTCAGAATCAAGATTAGTCTGCTTGTGATATTGCGCACTATGGGAAATACATGAAAGTTTTAGCTGACATGAAACTGTTAGATGATCAGAATCCGGGCCAGAGTTCACAGCTAGATCTATGATATATTTGAACATGTTTTATGATGCGATAAAGTAGACTACCAAGCTAGTGCCCCCATTACTGACACATGTAAAACTTCCCTCTTTGTCACTAACTGATCTACCATTGACAATACGTATACAGAAGCTTTTACATAATTCGAGAAGTAACAACCCATAGCTGTTTACACTACTGTCTTGCGTAGACCTTTGTCGCCAAATACATACGTCTCACCAAGTGGAATATAATCTGAGTCGGTTTCGTCCACCTTAATAAAATCATCGTTATCTCCTACTATGGCATTAAAGTCTCCACACAGCAGTATATCTACATTTTCGTCATATTTTGATTTCAAGATGGCTAACTTTAAGTCTGAGTCATCGATACCATTATTATCTGTATGCATAAAGCGGGATTTATCTGGGAGGACACATACAGAGCCTAAGAGTAACCCTTTACCGGGTGTGATTATGCATATAAAGACAAAATTTACCCAGATTGGATGAATTTGTTCAGTTCCCATATTCCATATGCATAAGAAGCCGGGTTGGGATGTTAAATTGCCGATGAGGCAAATATGGAACTTATCTAACCCTGTATCGTCATGTTTTCCAAAAAGTTAAGTGTTCCCGTGCAGTGACATTAAGTGTTCTAGGCAGGGACGGTACTTCTTAACTCGTTCACTCAATCTGACGTTGTTAGTGTAAACACGCAGAAAGAAACAACGGCACAGAGATTGTCGGCAAAATTGTCAAGCGTGTGTGACAGTTTCTTACAAAAGGTAACTTTGGCAAAAGGGAGGAATTCAAGAGCCGTTTAGCGAATTATTATGTTCAATTTTTCAATTTCAAAAGTTTGTGCATTATTATCCACTGAAGCTGAATCTATTGTGAATTCACACTTACTAGTCGATCAGATTCGAATATTCACCAGTCATCTTAGAATAGCATCTAAGAAAAGTCAAAACGTGCCTAAACATTTTATTACCTTCAGATTTGCAATTTGTGTGAGTGGCGGGTGCTATCGGTAGGGCAGGACATGCTGACTCTTTTCGCGAACACCTGGTGCCAACACTGATTTTCAGTGATCCATTCAAATAATTTTCACCGCTAGTTTGCCTGATAGAATCTGTTTTGACGGATAATCGAAAGTGGTTATTCTCTGGCGTTGACGTTTTATATCATAATACGATTATGTAATCCCGTTGCAGGCATTTTCGGGATTGTCACGAACTCCGTATCCGTCGTGATGTTCCTACGGGAGAAGAAGTTCAGGACGTCGGTGGATGCGTTGCTCTTCAACCTTTCAATATCGGATCTTGGGATGACTGTGGTGTGTTTTCCCTTTGTCATCTCAGCAAACTTTGCTCAGGTAATCTTAGGTAGTTTGTACACCTGGTACATATTTATATCCCGCAAAATGTAATGTAATGTTAAGTGTTCATGTGCAGTTATGTTAAGTGTTCCAATACAATAATGTTAAGTGTTCATGTGCAGTTACGTTAAGTGTTCCAATACAGTAATGTTAAGTGTTCATGTGGAGTTACGTTAAGTGTTCCAATACAGTAATGTTAAGTGTTCATGTGCAGTTACGTTAAGTGTTCCAATACAGTAATGTTCAGTGTCCATGTGCAGTTACGTTAAGTGTTCCAATACAGTAATGTTCAGTGTTCATGTGCAGTTACGTTAAGTGTTCCAATACAGTAATGTTCAGTGTCCACGACCTTACGTTAAGTGTTCCAATACAGTAATTTTAAGTGTTAACGACCTTACGTTAAGTGTTCCAATACAGTAATGTTAAGTGTTCATGTGCAGTTACGTTAAGTGTTCCAATACAGTAATGGTAAGTGTCCATGTGCAGTTACGTTAAGTGTTCCAATAGAGTAATGTTAAGTGTTCATGTGCAGTTACGTTAAGTGTTCCAATACAGTAATGTTAAGAGTTCATGTGCAGTTACGTTAAGTGTTCCAATACAGTAATGTTAAGTGTCCATGTGCAGCTACGTTAAGTGTTCCAATACAGTAATGTTAAGTGTTCATGTACAGTAACGTTCAGTGTTCCAATACAGTAATGTTAAGTGTTTGTGTGCAGTTACGTTAAGTGTTCCAATACAGTAATGTTCAGTGTTCATGACCTTACGTTAAGTGTTCCAATACAGTAATGTTTAGTGTTCATGACCTTACGTTAAGTGTTCCAATACAGTAATGTTAAGTGTTCACGACCTTATGTTAAGTGTTCCAATACAGTAATGTTAAGTGTTCATGACATTACGTTAAGTGTTCCAATACAGTAATTTTAAGTGTTCATGTGCAGTTACGTTAAGTGTTCCAATACAGTAACGTTAAGTGTTCATGTGCAGTTACGATAAGTGTTCCAATACAGTAATGTTAAGTGTTCATGTGCAGTTACGTTAAGTGTTCCAATACAGTAATGTTAAGTGTTCATGTGCAGTTACGTTAAGTGTTCCAATACAGTAATGTTAAGTGTTCATGTACAGTTACGTTAAGTTTTCCAATACAGTAATGTTAAGTGTTTGTGTGTTGTTATGTTAAGTGTTCCAATACAGTAATGTTAAGTGTTCATGTGCAGTTACGTTAAGTGTTCCAATACAATAATGTTAAGTGTTCATGTACAGTAACGTTAAGTGTTCCAATACAGTAATGTTAAGTGTTCATGTACAGTTACGTTAAGTGTTCCAATACAGTAATGTTAAGTGTTCATGACCTTACGTTAAGTGTTCCAATACAGTAATGTTCAGTGTCCAAGACCTTACGTTAAGTGTTCCAATACAGTAATTTTAAGTGTTCATGACCTTACGTTAAGTGTTCCAAAACAGTAATGTTGAGTGTTCATGACCTTACGTTAAGTTTTCCAATACAGTAATGTTAAGTGTTTGTGTGTTGTTATGTTAAGTGTTCCAATACAGTAATGTTAAGTGTTCATGTGCAGTTACGTTAAGTGTTCCAATACAATAATGTTAAGTGTTCATGTACAGTAACGTTAAGTGTTCCAATACAGTAATGTTAAGTGTTCATGTACAGTTACGTTAAGTGTTCCAATACAGTAATGTTAAGTGTTCATGACCTTACGTTAAGTGTTCCAATACAGTAATGTTCAGTGTCCAAGACCTTACGTTAAGTGTTCCAATACAGTAATTTTAAGTGTTCATGACCTTACGTTAAGTGTTCCAAAACAGTAATGTTGAGTGTTCATGACCTTACGTTAAGTGTTCCAATACAGTAATGTTGAGTGTTCATGACCTTACGTTAAGTGTTCCAATACAGTAATGTTAAGTTTTCATGTGCAGTTACGTTAAGTGTTCCAATACAATAATGTTAAGTGTTCACGACCTTACGTTAAGTGTTCCAATACAGTAATGTTGAGTGTTCATGACCTTACGTTAAGTGTTCCAATACAGTAATGTTAAGTGTTCATGTGCAGTTACGTTAAGTGTTCCAATACAGTAATGTTAAGTGTTCATGACCTTACGTTAAGTGTTCCAATACAGTAATGTTCAGTGTTCATGACCTTACGTTAAGTGTTCCAATACAGTAATTTTAAGTGTTCACGACCTTACGTTAAGTGTTCCAATACAATAATGTTAAGTATTCATATGAAGCAACATTCATCGTTTGCCGTGATGAAGGGCATGTTTGCATGAATCTGTTTGTAACACACTTTATCTATTTATTTCAGGAGTGGATACATGGCGACGTTGGCTGCACTATGTACGGGTTTCTTAGCTTTCTCTTCGGCAACGGATCAATATCAACGCTATCGGCCATCAGCGTGGAACGATATCTTATAATATGCAGGAAGTATGAAGGTAAGCGAAGTACTGACACGTGCTTAAGGCTGTCAGTATCGAGGTTAACATCAAGTGGGTTTTTTTCAGATTACCGGGTGTTATTAGGTATTTAACACTCCAAAAAATGCCAGTTAAAGCCGACGGCTTAATCACAGACTGTGTTTTCTGATTAAATGTATTCGCCACTTGTGCAGGAACTGACGGTAGATTCGGAGAATTGACTTCAACATTTTTTGTGTTTTAGGAGGTGTTAATAAAAAACCCAGTGTGCACATTGTGTAAATCCTCACTGTTTTCGGTTTATGAAAATGTAAACGAAAAAATAAATACCTGCAAAGGCCCGCAATGGTTTTACAACTGGATGATTCCAGTGTATCATTTACATGGCTCGAATGCACAGTATGAAAATAAACTCTGAAAACACATGCTTTTCTGTATTGTAAATTACTTTGCTTAATTTTCATATCATTACGCCAATATCTTGACTGTCTTGAATAACCATGCCTTTATACCTATGGAACAAAGTATATGTGTTTCATATAACGTTCAGTAAAAATACATTTATCTTGTAATTAAATAATGCATATTTCAATACATAACCATGCAGACATCTCCTCGACTTTAAGATCGTGATTTACAATTTGCACGTGCAAATACAATGTAGATGTTTTCGTGTTTGTTGGGAGCATAATACTCACCCACACGTGAGTTTTGAATGTGCTCAGCACACAATCATTGTTCAAATATCAGGTGCTCATAAATGACATTTCTATGACCACAAATAACGCTCACGGCTTGTCACGGCTTGCTGAAAACTGACGTCAACGGGCCGCGGGTATGCCTCAAACAGGCATGGCGCAAACTGAAGTTGGCAGACCCTTTAATGGTCATCGAAACACAATAACATCTCTTTGGAGACGTTATCTACATCAGGACAACACTCATGACTTGCCTAGGGACAGTCATCCACCTGTGACGTCACGTCAACAAGACAACCATATTCGGTTGGTGCATCGAATCTACGAAACCGATACCAAACTGCCATCTTAACAGCTCGGATAATTCCTGGGTTGAAATCAATAAGTGGCAGAACGGTGAACAAACGGTTGAGGCAGCACAACATCCGGCCCCGACGTCCAGCGATAAGTCCCATTTCGCTTCCCCGCCACCGTCAGGAACGCATAACGTGGTGTAGACAGCATCTGGGGTTCAGAAGACAAGACTGGGACACTATACTGTTCACAGATGGGTCCAGACTTCATCTGAGCAACTTTGATGGTCATGCAAGTGTCCACAGGCGCCCAGAAGAACGTTTTAACAACGCCTGTGCTACTCAACATCGTCAGTTTGGGGTTGGAAGTGTAATGGTTTCGTGTGGCATCAAAACTAATGGGAGAACACAATTCTTCATTGTTGGTAACAATTTGAATGGTGTAGGCTACCGGGAAGACATCGTTCGAGATCACGTTCTACCATTTGTGGAAATGCAGGGGCGTAACGTCACATTGCAGCAGGATAATACCCGCCCACATGTTGCACGTGTCGTAACACTCTTTCCGAGGCAGCATAACCTTGCTGTAATTTGCCATGACCTTTCCCCCATAAAACGTGCCTGGGATGAAATGGAACGAGGTCTACGCCAGGACCAGAACCAGCCGGGAACGTCAGCTGGGTTGGGCCAATATTTGGTTGACTTGCCCCTAGGCTATTTTCAATCTTCTGGCGTCTTCAATGCGCCGCCGCTTCCTCGCCTGTATCAACGCAGTGGACTCCCGATATTGATATTGCCAATTGAGTTGTTACACCACCTCTATTTTAGGGCGTGTCTCTACGTCTCCTGTTACCATACATAGGTTTAACTAATGATTTTTTTACCATTTTTACTATTTTCAATAACATAACCTTTACATCACTTTATATACACCCCTGTTTGTATATTTTTACCTTCTTGTGTAACTATGCATACATCTAAACCTTCCAGTATAACCATGCTTATATCTAGACCTTCCAGTATAACCATGCTTATATCTAGACCTTCTTGTCTAACCATGCTTATATCTAAACCTTCCAGTATAACCATGCTTATATATAGACCTTCCAGTATAACCATGCTTATATCTAGACCTTCTTGTCTAACCATGCTTATATCTAGACCTTCCAGTATAACCATGCTTATATATAGACCTTCTTGTCTAACCATGCTTATATCTAAACCTTCCAGTATAACCATGCTTATATATAGACCTTCCAGTATAACCATGCTTATATCTAGACCTTCTTGTCTAACCATGCTTATATCTAGACCTTCTTGTATAACCAGGCTTATATCTAGACCTTCTTGTCTAACCATGCTTATATCTAAACCTTCCAGTATAACCATGCTTATATCTAGACCTTCCAGTATAACCATGCTTATATCTAGACCTTCTTGTCTAACCATGCTTATATCTAGACCTTCTTGTATAACCATGCTTATATCTAGACCTTCTTGTCTAACCATGCTTATATCTAAACCTTCCAGTATAACCATGCTTATATCTAGACCTTCCAGTATAACCATGCTTATATCTAGACCTTCCAGTATAACCATGCTTATATCTAGACCTTCTTGTATAACCATGCTTATATCTAGACCTTCTTGTTTAACCATGCTTATATCTAGACCTTCTTGTATAACCAGGCTTATATCTAGACCTTCTTGTCTAACCATGCTTATATCTAAACCTTCCAGTATAACCATGCTTATATCTAGACCTTCCAGTATAACCATGCTTATATCTAGACCTTCTTGTCTAACCATGCTTATATCTAGACCTTCTTGTATAACCATGCTTATATCTAGACCTTCTTGTCTAACCATGCTTATATCTAAACCTTCCAGTATAACCATGCTTATATCTAGACCTTCCAGTATAACCATGCTTATATCTAGACCTTCCAGTATAACCATGCTTATATCTAGACCTTCTTGTATAACCATGCTTATATCTAGACCTTCTTGTCTAACCATGCTTATATCTAAACCTTCCAGTATAACCATGCTTATATCTAGACCTTCCAGTATAACCATGCTTATATCTAGACCTTCCAGTATAACCATGCTTATATCTAGACCTTCTTGTATAACCATGCTTATATCTAGACCTTCTTGTCTAACCATGCTTATATCTAAACCTTCCAGTATAACCATGCTTATATATAGACCTTCTTGTATAACCATGCTTATATCTAGACCTTCTTGTATAACCATGCTTATATCTAGACCTTCCAGTATAACCATGCTTATATCTAGACCTTCCAGTCTAACCATGCTTATATCTAGACCTTCCAGTATAACCATGCTTATATCTAGACCTTCCAGTATAACCATGCTTATATCTAGACCTTCCAGTCTAACCATGCTTATATATAGACCTTCCAGTATAAGCATGCTTATATCAAGACCTTCCAGTCTAACCATGCTTATATCTAGACCTTCCAGTCTAACCATGCTTATATCTAGACCTTCCAGTCTAACCATGCTTATATCTAAACCTTCCAGTATAACCATGCTTATATCTAGACCTTCCAGTCTAACCATGCTTATATCTAGACCTTCCAGTCTAACCATGCTTATATCTAGACCTTCCAGTACAATCATGCTTATATATAGACCTTCCAGTCTAACCATGCTTACATCTAGACTTTCCAGTATAACCATACTTATATCTAGACCTTCTTGTATAACCATGCTTATATCTAGACCTTTTTGTATAGCCATGCTTATATCTAGACCTTCTTGTATAACCATGCTTATATCTAGACCTTCCAGTATAACCATGCTTATATCTAGACCTTCTTGTATAACCATGCTTATATCTAGACCTTCTTGTATAACCATGCTTATATCTAGACCTTCCAGTATAACGATGCTTATATCTAGACCTTCCAGTATAACCATGCTTATATCTAGACCTTCCAGTATAAGCATCCTTATAACTAGATCTTCCAGTGAAACCATGCTTATATCTAGACCTTCCAGTATAACCATGCTTATATCTAGACCTTCCAGTATAACCATGCTTATATCTAGACCTTCCAGTATAAGCATCCTTATAACTAGATCTTCCAGTATAACCATGCTTATATCTAGACCTTCCAGTATAACCATGCTTATATCTAGACCTTCCAGTATAACCATGCTTATAACTAGATCTTCCAGTGTAACCATGCTTATATCTAGACCTTCCAGTATAACCATGCTTATATCTAGACCTTCCAGTACAATCATGCTTATATATAGACCTTCCAGTATAAGCATGCTTATAACTAGATCTTCCAGTGTAACCATGCTTATATCTAGACCTTCCAGTATAACCATGCTTATATCTAGACCTTCTTGTATAACCATGCTTATATCTAGACCTTCCAGTATAAGCATGCTTTTATCTAGACCTTCCAGTATAACCATGCTTATATCTAGACCTTCCAGTATAACCATGCTTATATCTAGACCTTCTTGTATAACCATGCTTATATCTAGACCTTCTTGTATAACCATATGCTTATATCTAGACCTTCTTGTATAACCATGCTTATATCTAGCACCTTCTTATATAACCATGCTTATATCTAGACCTTCCAGTATAGTGAGTGGGTGAGTGAATTTTGTTAAACGCCGCTTTTAACAGTATTCCAGTTATACCGCGGCGTGTCAGCTTAATGTGGGAGGAAAGCCCGAAGTGATGCAGGTCTAAGACGTTTATCACTTCGGTGAAACCCACGAGCACGGGTATGGTGCTGACAAACCTAGAAACATAATCGGGGCGAACCTGGATTCGAACCCACAATCATAGGTTTCTGGCTTGCCAAAAGGACGCAACTCTGCCCAGCGAATCGCGGCGCCTTAGCCGACTGGACCACCCGTGCCCCCAATCCCAATGTAATATCCCTTTACATCTCTCGGAGTTAAACCTTAATGATTTTTAATAATCATTTGTAATCGATGTGTTGTTTCGTATTAATAACGTTAGGATACAATCATGCTAACATCTTATCAGTCTGTTGTATTTTACACACGTTTACACCCATGATACACTCGGCCATTATTTTATTTTAATTTATACTTCCAGGAACCATTTTGCAAAGAAGGTTGTCGCTCGTGAAGATTTTTGGCATTATTTGGTTCCAAGCTTTTATGTGGGCGATGCTACCAATCACTACAGGTGTAGAATATGCATTGGAACCATTCCAGGTAAATCAGTAAATGTGATTAAACAGTAGGACCCACCTGTGAAGATCCGGGGTAGAATAGGTCTTCAGCAACCCATGCTTGCCGTATAAGGCGACTATGCTTGTCATAAGTGGCGACTAACGGGATCGGGTGGTCAGGCTCGCTGACTTGGTTGATGCATGTAATCGCATCCCAATTGCGTTGATCAATGCTCATGATGTCAATCACTGGATCGTCTGGTCCAGACTCGATTATTTACAGACCGCCGTCATATAGCTAGAATATTGCTGAGTGCGGCGTTAAACAATAAACCATGCGAAACAAAACTCAGTTTTGAGGAAATAAACTTCGTCACAGTAGAAATGAAAAATAGAAGTTTTACAAGTGCTAAGTCATACATTCATGGATGGACCAAGCCGTTGGCTGAACATGGGTAGCTCTTTGTATGAAATCCTGGAAGGGATATTGTCGCGTTTTAAATTTTTTTTCACACATTTTAGATCGGGCGACAATGCGACACCGCGACATATTTTGACCGTGAAAAATGTCGCGTTGTCGCACTTGAGAACAAATTATTCAATAAATGCGACAAAACCCTTTCCATAGACTCAAGAAAGCTCTCCCAAAAGTAATAGCCGATAATGCGATAAAATAATTTTGGTTAATTTTGACATTTCGGTTTGTTTTTGTAAGGGCGACAATGTCCCTTCTAGGGTTCCATACTTTTAATCACTGTAACACTCCACACAGACATCGTGCTCGGTGGACTGGCAGGGCAGGTCTCTCAGTGCCAGGATCTTCATTTTTGGACTTGTTGTACTGGTGTTGGGCGTCAACACGTTTGTAATGACCTTCTGCTATGTCTGCATCTACTATACGGCACGGAAGGAACGTTTCCGGCGACGGGCAATACAAGATATCGTGATCACAAAGGTACTGTGCATATGTTCGATAAAGTGATACCGTTGTTGTCAGATGCCTTTTGTTAAAAAAAATCATGACTCAATTCGGATATGTCTCATTGGAATGACTACGCCATTGACAGCATAAATTATTAATACTGACTGGTGACATCTTGTTTCCCTCTCTAAGAGTTGCGTCCCTTCTACATGGATGCCAGGATCTGTTATTCATGGGTTCGAATCTCACATTGTCCGCGATCATGATTCACTTTTACCTTATTCGATAAAGTGGTATTCATATCCATATCGTGAATAATAATAATAATGATAATAATAATAATAATAATAATGCAAAATTCTTCATTTGAAACGTGGCAAGGTAGAAGAGGGAGGATCAGTCAGTTTACTTAGAGGAGGAGTTATTGACCATCTTGAGGAAGGTCAGGCCTACACGTACTTAGGGACCAGATTAGGGACAAACTCCAGAATCCCATGTACAAATGTAGACTAAAGAAAATCTGGAGTTCAGAGCTGAATACTTATGCTGTGCCCGTCCTTTTGTATTCTTTTGGTGTTGTTGATTGGACGAAACAAGAAATTCAGGGTATTGACACCCTCACACGAAGAATCATGTCAGACAATAGATCCCACCACCCTCGCTTTTCCCTCAATCGCTTATATTTACCAATTATGATGGGAGGGCGTGGTTTGATTAATGTGGATGCTCTTCATGATAGAATTGTTTTGTGCACTTTTGCACACATTTACTTGTCTGATGATCCTCTTGTGAAGCATGTCAAGACTCATGATGAAAACAAGGCATTCCACAGTTTTCTAAAACGAGCCAAGGATGTGGGACATAATCTCAATGTCGGTGTTGATTTTGTTGATTGTTCTGTACTGCTGAACGGTACAGAAATGACTGTCAACCAAGCGAAGTGCCATATCAAGTCGGCCCAGACTCAGTTTTTCAAGGAGAGGCTATCTGAACGACCACTGCATCGAGTTTATGTGCAGTGTGTTGAGAAGTTCAGCAATCCTGCAGAGTTCTATGCGTGGATGAAGTCGTCTGGCCTGAAAAGTGAAGTAGAAGGCTTTCTGTTTGCTGCTCAGGACCAGTCACTTCCCACTCGAAACCGTCAATGTGTGATTTTGCATCAAAATGTAAATTTGAAATGTAGATTATGTAATGAATTTAATGAGACTCTCCAACACACTGTCAGTGGATGCCCAGCTTTGGCACAAACACAGTATCTTAAACGACATGGTGGTGTAGCTCGATCATTTTATTACCGTCTTCGCCATGCTTGTGGTTTTGACACAGAGGTCCGTCCACCCAAGGTACGACCCGGAATATGTAGAGGGCGTCACGGAAAATGTTAAATACAAAATTCTTTGGAATAGGCCCATGTACAGCCTACGTATCCAGGCCAACAAACCTTTCGATAAATCCAATGAAATCATTGGTATCACTGAATTTTATGTCCCCTTTGACACTAATGTAATTGACAAGATTGAGGAAAAACATGGCAAATATGCGGACCTCGCTTTCGAAATGTCACGCTTGCATCCCAAGTACCAAGTTGTCCGACTCCCTATTGTTCTCGGTGCCCTAGGTTCGGTACCTCCCAATCTGTTGACTAACATTGGGAGAGTACCCGGGTTTGCTACCAGGAATACAGCCCTTCTGACAATCTGGGTAATGAGCCTAACCAGCCTGATTGTGCCAGGATCACCCAAACCCTCTTTGTTGCATTTTTTATTTATATTTTATTTATTTTTAATCTGTCAATAATAATAATAATAATAATAATAATAATAATAATAATAATAATAATCTCATGTACAAATGTTGAGGGGCGATTGATAAGTTCTAAGCCTAACAAAGAAAACAAAGTCAGTTTGATACCAAAGCTTTTTATCTTTCGACATAGTCCCCTTTAAGGTCAACACACTTCTGCCAGCGATGTTGCAATGCCATTATGCCACTTTTGTAGAAGTCAACTTCTTGGTCACTCAAAAAGTTGTTGACCGCTGTAATGACATCATCATCTGACTGGAAATGAGTTCCAGCTAAATGCCTTTTTAACTGTGGGAACAGATGATAGTCCGACGGAGCCCAATCAGGTGAATAAGGTGGATGTTGGAGAAGTTCAAAGCCACACTCATGGATTTTGGCCATTGCTATCGGTGATGTGTGTGCTGGAGCATTGTCGTGATGATAAAGCACACCTTTCGTCAACTTTCCACGTCGCGTAACTTTGATTTTCTCTCTTAACTGTCTCGGAAGTTCCACATAGTAAGCCCCTGTAACAGTACGGCCTTTAGGAAGCCAGTCCACCATGATCACACCTTCAGAATACCAAAACACGGATGCCATGACTTTCCCCGCTGAAGGCACAGACTTTTCTTTCTTTGGAGTAGGAGATGTGACATGTTTCCACTGTTTAGACTGTTGTTTTGATTCAGGTTCAAAGTGGTGGACCCATGTTTCGTCCATTGTAACAAATCGTTTGCGAAAGTTATCTGGATCACCTTCAAAAAGCTTGAGGTTCTCCCTTGAGAGATTCGCTCTTTGACGTTTCTGATCAGCTGTCAACAGTTTGGGGACCCATCGAGCAGAAACCTTGTGCATTCCTAGAATATCTATCAGAATGAAATGCACTCGCTCCTGAGAGATGTCCACTAAGTTGGCTATCTGTCGCAGTGTCACTCGTCGGTCGTCCATGATTATGTCCAGGACTCGCTGTACCGTTTCAGGTGTTGAAGACACAACAGGTGGACCAGGACGGGGTTCATCATCAGTGCTCAGTCGCCCACGTTTAAACTCTGCCACCCATATTTTCACTGTTGCATATGACGGGGCATCTTCCCCTAGTGTGGATAACATATCCTCATATATGGCATTGGGTGTAAAGCCTTTCTTGTAAAGGTATTTGATAACAGCTCGCTTTTCCTGTTTCTCCATTTTAAGTCATCTCATAACCCCCCTTGCAGTCAATAGCTTATACTAAACTAAATAATGTGTCCAATACAACAATCCTCCTGTGTATGTCACTGTACTTGATCAGTCTATCACCACCACAAAGGAATTCATCCGTACCACACTCCTTCAGAGGTAGGCTCACAACTTATCAATCGCCCCTCGTACTTATAATACAGCCCTTCTGACAATCTGGGTAATGCAGAAGGCTGCAGTGTTTCGGAGTCTTCACATTCTCCGAAAAGTTCTGGGTGGGTTTGACTAGGCAGCGCTTCCTGGGAGAAGTCCCATTAGCTGTCTGGGCTGTGTGTAGAGGGGGCAAGGGCCCTGAGCTGATGATGAGTCTAACCAGCCTGACTGCCAGGATCACCCAAACCCTCTTTGCTGCATTTTTATTTTAATCTGTACAACAACAACAACAACAACAACTTTATGACTGTACCCGAAGCATAAATTGAGAATCAACTAGCATTTGAATCAATTCTTTGTCTGGCAGTTCGGTTGACATTAAACTTTGTCATATAATTAAAAGCGGTAAAAGCGGCAAAACCCTTTCCCCAGTAATAAATATCTGCCAAAAGCAGAATCAATTGTACGATTCCAACTATATCATGAAAGCTTTTGTTCATGAATCACTATCAAATAGTGATGACACCAGAAGTTCGCGAAAAGGCAACTTTATCCTGCCCTGCCGATGCCAACCGTTACAAACACATGCAAAGACAAGTCAGTTGATCACCTGAAAAAAAACCTGGCAACACATGGCACAAGTAAAAAAATTGGTACTTATCCCAATAAATTACTGGCACTTGTCCTCTATTCCACCGAACACAGCATGCATCATATTGTTTGTAATCGTTTTTTGTTCTTTCAGACATGTTTCCTGCTAGTCGTCTCATTCTTCGTATGTTGGACGCCATATGCTGTCAAATCTATTTGGGAATCCTACGGCAACCCTCAATCTCTCCCTCCTTTCTTCGCCGTGGGCCCCGTCATCTTCGCCAAGCTGTCAAGCTGCCTCAACCCCATGATGTACGTCTTGATGTCCAAAAGGTTCCGAAAGCGTTACCTTGACACCATCAAGTGCAAGAAGCGGAACCGGATGTACCCGTCTAGCATCACCACCATTCAGATGACGTTCAGGCAGTACAGTGGACGTTGAAGGCGGAACCGGTTCACATTTGTTGACGTCACGTGACAGGACTACTGCTGTGCTGCGTCAGGCAATAAATACTTACTTTTTTATGCGAAGTTGGTTGGTTGGTTGGTTGGTTTGTTGATTAACGCCGCACTCAGCAATATTCTAGCTATATGACGGCGGTCTGTAAATAATCGAGTGTGGACCAGACAATCCAGTGATTAATATCATGAACATCGATCCACGCAATTGGGACCGATGACATGTATCAACCAAGTCAGCGAGCCTGACCACCTGATCCCGTTAGTCGCCTTTTACGACAAGCATGGGTTGCTGAAGACCTATTCTACCCCGGAATCTTCACGGGTCTTATGCGATGTGTATGAATGGCGGGTACTTCCGATAGGGCAGGATATGCTTACCCTTTTCACGAACGCCTTGTGTCGTCACTGACTTTCAGTGGTCCATTCATATAATTTCCACAGCGCTTTGACCTTTACGTCAAGTGGAATCTGTTTCGGGAGAGAATCGTGGCTGGTTTTTCTCTTGCATTGACAATTTATATTTGTTTGTGTGCTGTTTACCGCCGCACTCACCAATATTTCAGCGATATGACGGCGGACTGTAAATAAACTCTCATAAACTGGTGAATACATGGATTTTGAGTCAAGATTTCCACTTCATACGGATGTTTAATTCGAATGATTATATTGTAAATTTGTAATCAGATTTTTCTTTACTGTGTAAATATACCAATGATAAATATACATTCGTCTGTGTGGACTGTGTTCATTGTTTTCCTAAACCATCGGATATGGTCTTGGTCTCAGGGGATTCAGTGTCAGACGTGGTCCCTGTAGCCAGTTTGATATCCGAATCAGGCACATCATCCTTACCTCAGACACATGGTGACGACCTTTCCTACCCAGTGCGACCGCCCCCGCAGTGAAGTGGATAGAGCGTCTGTTGGGAGGGCGGAAGGTCGGTGCTCCGGTCCCCCGGGGGCGTCTTACTTCACCAACATACGTTAAAAGCCATTCGTGACTAACTCGTGTTATTCCGGGACAGGCCGAATAACGACTCGTGCCCCTCTCATGGACATTTTTGCGACCGGGTTCCGTCATAGCGCAAACGGGCATACATAAAACAATTGTCAACTCGTTGCGTAATGCTTCACATATATTTCCCCATATATTATATATATTTCAGATGCAATTTAAAGCACATCGGGACATGCGGAATTATACAGTATAATTGAACACATTTAACTGTATCTTGGGTATATTTTAGATGCAAAATATATGTAAAATCAAAAATTATTCCTGAGGGATTCTTTGACGAAGAACGTGCATAAGTCATACGCGCATTCTGATTGGTTTTTCGTATTTTCGCACATAACATTCATCGACAGGGGGACGAGTCTTCTTGCAGGTTACGGAAAGGGGCGAGTGGTGACGAATGGTTGAAAGCCTCAGTCGGCATGGAGTCAGTGCACTGTGTCTGACTGAGGTATCCTGGTTAACGGCAGCATCGTACAAGAACATACAAGGACAAACGAACACACGCACACACGATCCTTTCTCCAAATCCCTGCTTGAGATCAGGAGCCGTTGTTCGACCGGTGGAGTATTTGATCATCCAGTGGCCTAAGACATGTTGCTGAGCAGAATGGTCTGCTCGTGCCAGCTTCCAATCCATATTTACACGGACTATGATCCCTGGTCTTTCAGCACCATATAATTAAATTTTCGTTGTGTTCATTGAAATTCCTGTATTCTGATCAGCTAAATTGGTCACGTATTATTGCATAATTTCCCAATGAATGTAAAACAATTAGCCACGCCCACAGTGGCGCACTACTTTTATTACTGCGGAATGTCGGGGGTCCCCCCCCCCCCCTCCAATATTACAGTCGAGGGAATTCCCTTTCTGCTCACGTGTATTGTCATGCACAGGACATTTAGCGACTTTTTCATGCATATTCATTGTCCAAACTACCCTTTGAAACCGAAGGCCGAGAATGAATGAAACAGCAAACGTGCAGGCTCGCTCGCCTGTTTTTTCCCGCTCGCCTCGGTTCAACATTCATGTCTTCGGGTTTCATTTCTGAATAGCATATTTCCTACTTTTACCGTGATCAGGGAAGTAATGGTTGAATCTGGGGGTAACTGACCATGTTATTTGAAACAGCCGCCTTCCCCCGGACAATTTTTTCCCATAAGCATTGACTGTGTATTTTCCTCGGTTCATCGAGGTATGAATCGAAAAACCGATGTGCAAACTTTTGTAATAATCCTTTACGCGGATTCATACAGTTTGCACATCGGGTTTTCGATTCATACCTCAACGAACAGAAATAAATACACAGTCAATCCTTAAATAAATCTGGCAGATGTCTGCGACCTGCCTGAAGTTTGCGTTACATTCGGTCGATTCTTTTAACGAAGTGGTCCCCAGTGCCAAGGGCCAACTGGTCAGGCTCTGTGATTCGGTAGGTAACGTGTCGTTGTGTGAACTGTTGTGTATATTATTGCACATTTATCGAGTCACAGGTTTGTCTGGTCCAAGAAGCGCAAACATGCAAGTGGAGAGTCACATTACATTTCATATAGTATCTAAGGCGGATTTTTCATCAATTCTTTTGTAACCATTATTTTGAAGTATTTAAGAATTAATCTTGAATTTTAGTAATATTCTTTTTTGCTTGTCAATTCCTTTTCGGCACGTGCTAAGATAGCTGGCCTATTTACCCATGTGTAAGTACGCGTTCCGAGAGAGTACCGTTCTCAAAGAGCTCTTGACGACATGGTAGACGTTAAAAGATGGTACTTGTTGTTACCCTGTCTGGCGCTCGGCATTTAGGAGCTAAAACAAGGACTGGTCGGCTCGGAGTCAGTATACTGTGTCTGAGTGGGGTATTCATGTTAAACTGCGGCATGCTATCTCAGTGTGCTAGCACTATAAATCAGCATCAGTCCGGACTAGTACAAGCAGCCAAACACACACACACACACACACACACACACACAGACGCACGCACGCACGCACGCACGCACGCACGTCGCTTTATGATTGCAATAAGCTTGGACGCGACGTTAAACCCAATTTCGCCTCGCCTTGACGTCATGGTAGGATGGAGACATACCTGACACAGTAGGTTTTATCTCCTAATTCGAAAATGACATTTCAGAATCCTTCACTCTGATTAGTCCTCGAGTGATATCGAATCTACGTTATACTAGGATGCTACAGATAACATATATAGATGAAGATATATTTGAAAGCACTTCTCCCACATATCCGAGCTATTTCAACTCCTAATTCGAAAATGACATTTGAGAATCCTTCACTCTGATTAGTCCTCGAGTGATATCGAATCTACGTTACACTAGGATGCTACAGATAACATATATAGATGCAGATATATTTGGAAGCACTTCTCCCACATATCCGGGCTATTTCAAATACTGACCTACCTCCTACACGTTGCTAAATGCGATGTTGTTGGTCCTAGACTAGTAAGGGTGACATTTCATTTCAGACGGAAAGTACTATGAACAATGACTTAGTGAGTATATTGTCAAATTCAGTTAAGAATTGTCTTTCACTTTGTGTGAGTTCATTGGAGTATTAACCTTCATAGAGTGAGGGCCAAACTGTATTCTCGAGAAATGTGAAAATAGTCCGTCATGTTTACGTCATTTCAGGAATACAGTCTCGTGAAAAATACATGAACGTCAAATTGTGTCGTACATACGCGTATGAACATCAATATCGTGGTCATGTGTCCGACCTCTCGTCCAGTGGAAAAGCCGTATATCGTGTACAGTTCACATTAAAAAAATTA